AGACAGTTTATCAGGAGAGAGAAAGCCATTCTCAGGGAAGTTTACCTATAAAAAAAAAAATCTCCACTGTAAGTTCCATTTGATTTACTTAACCGAGTAGCTCCTTAGACATTACCATTGACCCATTTTCCCCAGAAAAACACTTGAGAACATTACCTTTTGGTGAATCTGCCAATCCCAAGTTAGAACACATGTTCTAAAAGGCACAAAAACATCTAGCTAGTATAGCCTTAACTAGAATTTAAGGCATTAAAAAAAAAACAAAAAAACCCTCATCGGAGTAAACTGCACTGTGATGATTATGGTTCTATTCAGCCAATGTAAGAACCCACACTAAAACATACTAATTCCTTGTAACAGAATTTAAACAAAGCTATTCATCCTCACAAAAGCAGTCCTCCTTTTCCCAAAAATGTTTTTTAAATTTCTTAAAAAGTATACTTTTGAGACAGAGCATGAGTAGGGGAGGGGCAGAGAGACAGGGAGACAGAATCCGAAGCAGGCTTCAGGCTGAGCTGTCAGCAGAGCCTAATATGGGGCTCGACCAATGAACCGCGACATCATGATCTGAGCTGAAGTCGGACACAACTGACCAAGCCACCCAGGCAACCCTAAAAATGTTTTTAATAAAAGCTGTATTTGTTGGTCAAGGGCCAATTTAAGATTGAAAAAAAATGGTTGGGGGTTGCTTTATGAACCATCCTAGTAACCAAGCACTATAGTATTTTGCCAAAAACTCACAATGGCTAACTACTTCTGCTGAACTAAATATAAGATCCTAATTATAGCCTGTATTAGCTCATTTCTTCCTGAACAAGAGACTATAATGTGCTTTACCATCCAGAAATGTAATTCTGTTATATTTTAATAAGCTAATCATTGTCCAGTATTCCCAGGCTACTTTTTTTTTTTTTTAATTTTTTTTTTTTCAACGTTTATTTATTTTTGGGACAGAGAGAGACGGAGCATGAACAGGGGAGGGGCAGAGAGAGAGGGAGACACAGAATCGGAAACAGGCTCCAGGCTCTGAGCCATCAGCCCAGAGCCCGACGCGGGGCTCGAACTCCCGGACCACGAGATCGTGACCTGGCTGAAGTCGGACGCTTAACCGACTGCGCCACCCAGGCGCCCCTTCCCAGGCTACTTTATAGCTTACCTTAAATTCGATGATTAGGCGACCCTTTTCGTATGGTCTACGATAAATTGGCATGCCTTCATTCAGCACACACTTGATATCTCCATGCTTGACAATCTGACCTAAAAACATAGAAGCCAAGTTTTATTAAATACAGTCACATTTTTATGAGGCGGGGAAAATAAAGAGGAATGTCCTAGCTCACTGACAGGAATAAATATATGTGAAGCAATCCAATTACCTTTCAGTTTTTAGGGGCTTCCTTAAGAAACCCAATTACCATACAATTTCAGCTCAGCTCAGGGAGAGACTTAATTGAACAAGTAATTATACTAGTTTTCTCAGTGCCTATATATTAGCTAGCAGCAGACAGCCAAAATACTGTAACAGACAAGCTCATCTAAGTTATCATACCTGGATGAGAGGTAATGACAATGGTTCTGTTGTCTAGAGTAGATATTGGCTTTTGAAAGCCGCACAGTGCTTCAACCAGCTGTATGTCCATACACATGAAAAGATCCTCTCCTCGCCTGTTATCAACATAAATATGACATACACTCAATTCTCTCAAATCACCCGTGATTAGAAGTACCACAACAGGCAAATCCGTTTTCTTAACAGCAAGCAAGGGTATCTTTCACAAAAAAGTCCTTTCTCTCCCAATTCTCAAAACAGCTGTGATCTAGAAACAGCAACCCTGCCAACCATTTCCTGGGTAAGAATTTAGAATCCTTCCACGCATTCTAGGTAGCCTCTACTACTTACCATCCCCATTACCTAATTTTAAATCTGGTTTCTTAACAAGGGGAAAAAAATTTTCCCACAACAGTGCAGCTTAAAAAAGAAAAAGTGCTGATATTAAAAAGGAAAGGACATAGTGTGAGGCAGAATAGACTCCCAACTGGGTCCTGGATTTAGGTTCTGTGAAATTAAATAATGGGGATGACCAATTCCAAATGATAAAAGAATTTTTTACTGACCTACATGAATTACTAATATAGTGCTTTGCATATTATGAAATACTTTTTGTATTTTGTATAGCCCACTTCCTCCTTGTGCTTAGACTTTCTTTTCCAGTTCATATTAGTAAAATAACTTATCCACAGAGTACTCTCCAAATAAAACTTGTAGATTCAGGGGTGCCTGGGTGGCTCTGTTGGTTAAGCATCGGACTCTTGAGTTCAGCTCAGGTCAACAGTTCCTGAGTTCGAGCCCCACATCGGGCTCTGTGGTGACAGCACAGACCCTGCTTAGGATTGTTTCCCCCTCTCTCTCAAAAGCAAGCATTAAACAAACAAAAACAAAACTAGTAGATTCACCTCAAATGACCCCATCAAAATCCTGACTTTGATAGCATTTCCCATTATTTAAGACACTTATAGGAATGTTCTTTTTCACTAACTCAAAACCAGTTCCTTCGGATGTCATTCCCAACAGATTTATAGGATCCCTACTCTCGTCCAAAGCTTTAAATTAGCAATGGCTATATATTTAACACATGGGTTAACAAATCCTTATTCTTAACTGTAAGAGCATAAACAGTATCATTTCACAGCAACAGACCTCAATTTATATACTAATTTAGTTTTCTACAGAGAAGTTTCTATACATTTATTTACAATTAAAAGCAACTCAACTTACCACAAACTCTGGACTAAAAGGGGCAAAAGGTTTAGGTCATTTCAAATTAACTGCTTACACAAAGACTATTTATATTCATACAAAACACTTCTTTAAAAAAAGCATATCCTTTAGGTAACGACTTACCTAAATTTACCCAAAAACCAAAATCTGATCTTTGTTTGTAGCCTACTGAAACAATGGCTAACAGCCTTTTAGAAAAGATACCACATATAACCTAACTCTACTACACTTTTCTACAGTATTTCCAGTAAGTTTTTAGAGTAATGAAAAGCACATTTAAAAAAATGCAATCTGTCAGTTTGAGTAATTGGTAAGTTTTTACCTAGTAAAAACAGCATGGTCCTTCTGATCTAAAACAATGATAATATCTCCTGGTTCCAGTCCAGGTTCTTGGTCTCCTTCACCATGGAATGTTATCTTCTGGCCATCTTTCATGCCTAAAAACAAAAGATTAGTTTTACATTCTTATTTAACATCCAACTAATGTCAGAATCTTTATTAAGAAATTGGTGCATGTTTGTGTATGCCTGAAAAAAATGCTCAAGTCTTTGTGGATGCTAAATTTACGGAAATGACTAAGAATGCCCACATGATTCAATCAATTTCTTACTGAAGAAAGTGATCATAGGGGAGAACACAAACCACAGACGCAAACCTACGTGAGGCTCCAAATCTCAGAGCTGCTATTTACTGCTAGCTGGATTACCCTAGGGAAGCAAGTTGCATAACATTCCAAAATAAATACCAACTTTCCCAGACACCTACCTCATCAGGACTGTTTCGAGGATTAAATAAAAAGGCCCATGCTGCCACCAAATCAGTTAACTGGCAAACATAACCATAATAATTAACAATAAACATTACTTATATCCAGCTTGTCTCCTGAACCAATCACTGAGGGGACCCAAACAAGAGCCACTGTTTTACATATTATGAAAGATATGAAACCCCTATTATGTAGCCAAAACTGTAATGAATATCCATCAAACTAGATCCAGCAGATCATTTCATGACTAATCCTTCATGTATTATAGTACCTTCACCCATGTTCCCCCCTCCATTAAAAAAAAAAATCTTTTCAGTGCTTATTTTTGAGACAGAACATGAGCAGGGGAGGGGGCAGAGAGAGAGGGAGACACAGAATCTGAAGCAGGCTCCTGGCTCTGAGCTGTCAGCAGAGCCAGATGCGGGGACATGGGGCTCGAACTCATGATTCGAACTGTAAGAGATCATGACCTGAAGGAAAACGGATGCTTAACTGACTGAGCCACTCAGACACCCTTCCCCCAATCCCTTTTTGAAGCAAAATCTAAATATGTGAGGATGTATCTCTAAAAAACTAAGAACTTAAACCACAATACCAGTATTACATAGGAGAAAACGAACAGTTTGTCTTTATTCTTGAGGCCAAGTTGCTGTCTTGTTACAGCAGTGAAGCAATTCAACTGTACTTGGTTTTGCTCGATGTTCCACTACTGTAAAAAGCATGGATAAAAGCAGCAAATATGGTTTCACTTACAACTAATGCTCTCCTAAAAACACTGTTGGTAGCAAAAGGGATGTTCTATCAAAGCAAAAAAATCCAAACCTGACTACACATGGACCAACTGAGAAAGGAAAAGTGAAAGGAGGGCAGTACCATAAATCACACAAAACATTACAGAGGCTTAAGTTAATGCAGATTTACGTAGTAATATGGAATGAGGTTCATATGATCGACAATTCCGTATTAGTATGCACATTATGTAATAGTTTCATTTTAAATTAGCCATGTCTGAAAGACATTGCTACATGTTCATAAGTTCTTGTTTACCAGTTAAAACATGTTCATTAGTTTAGAACAATTTCAAGAAAATAGGAGACCCCCTGAATTCTTTACCTAAACACCCCATCCTTAAAAGAAGGCACATCCTGGAGTGCCTGGCTGGTTCAGTCAGTGGAACCCATGACTCAATCTTAGGGTTGTCAAGTTTGAGCCCCACTGGTAAGTGTAGAGAATACTTAAAATCTTTACCAAAAAAAAAAAAAAAAAAAGGCATATCCTTTAATCTAGCAGTTCCCAAAGAAATCGTTATTTCAGTTACAAGTGGAAGATCTAATGATTTAATAGAAGAAAATTAAGTTTAGAACACTATTCAATCATTTGCTGGTATCAGTGTTCTATCAAAATAAGAAAGTGACTCAGAACTCACCTTTGTCAATATGAACTTCTAGAATCTTCTTTTCTCGAACTATCTT